TAGGATGCAGGGTTTACCGCATAACACAGAGTCGTTTCGCATTACTGTTTGTTCATTACTAACTTGGCACGAGTAGCTGCATTTGCTGAAGCCTTAGGCCGCAAGCTGTGAGCCTTCACTTAGGTATGTTTTCGGCTGCGATAGACACTGCTTTCTTCTCGGTAGCTGGTACAGTGATTTGGGTTTGGGAATAACATTGATAACGCACTGATCTTTTAGCTGTTCCCAAGTAGTGCTTTAGGAGCTACTCTGTCAGATTTAGTCCGACAGAGCAGCAGGTGCCTGAGAAGCACGGACCGGAAGATACGGGGGTTACAGCCACCGGCGGAAGCGGCAGCTCAGCAAGATGAGACCAGCTAACGGCGTGCCCAGAGACAGAGAAGAATCCAATGAGGTGTTAGAAGACCCCACACCAAAAATCACCATTGGACCAAAAATAAGTGTGAAAGGCATGGTGCATAGATTGTAACGGTCTAATATCGCCCAGAACTTCCTTAGTTGGGGGTCGCTCTCTGGAGGCACCCAGTTCGAGCTGGTTTTATTTCCCGCTGTGCCATCCGAGCAGACTTTGGGGTTTTTTATATGAGATTTGATACCTGGGACTCCGCTATGGGAAATGTAGGGCTGAAACTGAGGAAAGGAGAAGCACCTGAGAGTGAAAACGTGCATGTGCAAGGAGCTGGAAGGGGCGCCCATCGGCTCGCTGGAGTCGCCCACCGCGATGGGACTTCAGCCCTAGCAGGCGGCTTGGGCGGCGGCGAGCGCGCCACTCCTAGAACGGCGTCGGTGTGCTCGAGCGGTCTCTCCGTTAGCAGAGGTGCGCGTCAGAGACCTCCGGCGTGTGGAAGTTCTCAGTCTGCCCTGTGCACCGCTGTAACCACCCGGACACAGGCCGGGACAGAGCACGCAAAGTGCCTCTCGTGGGGAGAGGCTTGGCAGCTCCTAGAACAACAGGAGAAGCACGTACGCCGGCCTGCAGTAAAAATACCCAGCGTTAACTGGAAAACATCACCCCATCTGACAGCGATGAGGCTGACAACTTACCGCGTGGCTTTATCTTTTGCTGTGTAATTTCATCAGCTTTACAACAGCTTCGCTGCTTACCTTCCCAGCAGTCTTGTCTCTCGTTTCAGGATATGAAAGTGTAAGATAGCAGTGTTCATGCTCAGGAAATTAAAGCTGCCCAGTATCTGTTTTAATCATCAGGATACTTGCTTCGATTATACAACATATAAACCTCCTTTTTCTTCCCCCCCCTCCCTTCTCTCATTCAAAGAGGAAAACAAGCAGTCAGGAAACGACCTTACCTATCATTCAGCATTACTCAGCCTGGGATTTCAAGTCATAAACTATCTGCATTCATTATCAAAACTTTAACTCTTACACTGCCACTTGGGAAACGTTGGCAAAACAACTTGGCAAATACTGGCAAAAGAAGAAGTTTGTGAAGACCTAGAACATTCTCAATTTTATATATTCAGCATTTGCGTAAGAACAGGCATGACAGCAGTAATTAAAGCTATACTAATTTTGTATAATTCAAAACACACGCCCCCTGAGCTGTTCAGTTTCATTGTAAACAGCTGGCTAAATAGTTGCTTAATTTCTGATATTACAAAACTGGTTGACAGAGTTTCAGAGACCTAGAAACACAGTATTAAACAACACGCCCTATTCCCTGTGTTTTATCATCACCACCATCCATCTGCTACCTCATAACTTCCAGCTGAAGTCTCATCAGCCCTCTCAAGCCCAGTAACAGCCCAGTTCAATCAGCACTTCTGAGGAGACTGCAGAGGATCCAGACTCGCTTCACAGGACTATTTTCACATCAAGCTAAGTCATTTAGAGCTATAGCTAACTAGGCACTCAAGCAGGTAATACTCAGTTGCTGTGTAGTGGAAGTCAGACCACTCAGAAACCCAGAAGGTTCAGGACCCTTTTGTACTTACCGAAACAACCCACAGAAGTGCTGAAGATGAAAATGAGACCTCACCATCCCTCACAGATAGCTGCCCTCTCACCCAGCTTGAGAGTCACAGACCCTAAGCCTAACATCTATTAGCTGGGGTCATTACCGTTGTTCCCTACCCCCACAGCTGCCCTCTGGGAGCTGTTTGCATTTTGCTAAGAAAGGTAAGTTCTCTGTTGGCTACTGAAAAACCAGATAGACCTGACTCTACTGCCTCTTAACCACATCTTCACGGAGCTTGCGAGGTCCACCATACAATACCTGCTCCAATTAATATTTAAGCATGTTAGTGTTATGTACTTACCAGTGCAGAGGCCAAGGCACCACATTACTGGGGGTAATGTCATGTGGGACATTTGCTGGGTCGTTTTCTGCTACTAGCAAAAACGCTTCTAAAAATAATATATATTTAAAAAAAAAAAAGGCAGTTTATGCTTGGGGGGGTGGGCCCTGAGTGATCTAAGAGTGAGTAATTTGTCAGCTGCTGATTTCTTTCTGACATGAGGGAGAACAGTGCTGCCCACTTATTCCAGTTAACAGGTCAGATCCTACCAATGTTGTCCCAAAAGCAAAACAGGCTGCACAGCTTTCTCTTGATTGCCAGTACCGCTGGGTTTGCTCTGCTAGGGATAGGTTAATTCAACTCCATTTGAGAAATCCTTCCTGGAGAGGGTGGGAAGGCACTGGGACAGGTTGCCCAGAGAAGCTGTGGATGCCCCATCCCTGGAAGTGTCCAAGGCCAGGCTGGATGAGGCTTTGAGCAACCTGGTCTAGTGGAAGGTGTCCCTGCCCATGGCAGGGGGGTTGGAACTGGATGAGCTTTAAGGTCCCTTCCAACCCAAACCGTTCTGGGATTCTATAAACGCAGAACACTGGACCATTTCAAGTTAAATATATGCATAAACAGAAGAAAAAACAAAGTTGGTATCAGCGTACTACAGCACCAGCCAACCTGCCCCTTCACTGGGGCAAATACAAATTACTGCTCTCCAGCAGCTGTGTTGCAAAATGCAAGTTTTGCCATCAGCGTTCACTGGGCTGTCTTCACATACCTGCAATTATTCATCCCAAACGAGCATCTAAAGGTGCTCTGCCAAAAAAAACCATGTAATAATTGGCTAATAACGACACGAAACATGAGTTTGCTGTTGGAGGGTCTATCGCGTACTCACTTTGCAAGGGACACCCGCGGGTTACGTGCCCCATCATCCACCCACCTACCCCCTTTCACCTGTACGAGCAAGTGAAACAGGGAGAGAAGAATGCCAGCTGCTACCTGGTTCCAAGTACCCTAGCTGGTTGCAGTTCCCGTTTTTGTTAGTGGGAGAAGAATTGTACCCTGCCAGTTTGTATCCTTCGCATGAACTAGAGTGTCTTCTGTTACTGACTTTGACATTCTTTACAGTCCTGCCCTATAAACTGGATTTAAAGTCATTCTCGAGCAAATACCTTTACGTACAGGAAAGCAGTATATGCACGAGAAGAAAATTTGTCATTACATTTAGCAGGTATTACCGAGAATTATTAGTCTCCTCTCTATAATATTTTCAGCTACAAAATATACAAGGGAAGAGCATGTAGACTTAAAAAAAAAAAACAAAAATCACATTTGGATAAGCAGGATGATGTGCTGTAAAAATAGCTATTGCTACAGATGCCATTACACCTAGGATCGATGTAGCTGTATCAGCACAACACCAGTTCTTGGAGCTTTTCGAAACTGGTACAAACATAACCAGCATTAACACTGGTATCAGCCCCTCTAAAGACAACTGACAGCAGAATAAATATACTAATGAGGTCAATCAGACAGACATATTATCGGGGTTCCATTGGCAGGCATTTGTGTCAGAGTTTACAGCAAAGAGGCAACGAACAGGAGGAACAGAGGAGGTCGGTCGGCACATCCTACCCCTGCACGGTAGAGCCAAACCTGTCACTCCGGGAAGAGACAGACATGATAACACTGTTTCCATGCTGGGAGAAGGCTAGGCTTTCCATGGAGATGCCCAGGGTTCGTAACTGGACTCCCTTAAGCTTTTACCTACTGAGGGGGCAAGTTACAAGAAATTCAAAAGGGATCTCTGTGGTAGGCAGAGGATTTCAATTCACAAATGAAAACACCCCCTTTCTGTATGCATGCAGTTTTATTTGTTGCTGATGCAATTAGTTGCCTGCACAAAACTACGGTGTCAATACGTGACATACGAGTCAGGTTTACAAAGAAGAAAGCAAATACAAAATAAATAAACACAACGTAAAATTTGAAAAGTTGCCCAAAATACCAAACGCCTTTCGTGTCAGATTTGGTACACGTTAATGCCGACTGGCCTGATGACTCACCACACAAAACCCGGGTAAGACCCCGTCTACCAGGCCAGAGCGGGGAGGGAATCACGAATCACTCTCAAGCCACAGTTTTTCTGGCACACATACACGGCCATCAGCTGTCCACCAATACATCTTAAGAACATTGTGGCCCAGAGACGTGAAGTCCTGGAGCTGCCTTCCAAAATAAACAGCGGGTGCAAAAAGCGTACTAGGCAAGATAGTAAGCAAGTGGTTTTTAAGAGTTCTTGCCCTATCACAGTAACCTTCTCAGATGAGAAGATCTTATTTTTCCTATATCATGACAATTCTCCAACGCGTTCAGTCTGTAGTAGTAGTGTGCACGCGTGCGCTGCAAAGGACTACAGTAAGCACAGTGCAGCCGAGAAGTGAACCTGAGTACACAGCTCAGAAATAAGCGCAGTTTTGTTGTTTAAAGTTCACTGTCATAAAGCTTTCGGAAAATCCTCACTGACTTTTTGGTTCTGCTGAGAGTACACCATTTACAACATCACAACATAGAGAAAAAGATGACTGTTTGCTACACAGTATTTAAGAAAACAAGAAACAATATATAAGATGTTACATAACTTCACTAAATCCCTTTGTGTTAATACTGCAGAAGGCTTTGCTTATTCATCAAGGCCTCCACCTGTAATGCTCACAGCAGGCGTGCCGAGACAGCCGTACCAAGGTGTGAATTCGAACAACGCTCCCATCACACTGAACGAATACAAAATACAAATAACTCATCACTGCTGCCAAAAAAAAAAAAATACTGAACTGTGGAGCAGATGATCTCACGCTCTTACGTATTTTGCATTTTAGATCTCATAGTTTCTGAATTTCCTCAGAAGATCTGATGGAGCATCCCCTGACCAGCGGAAACGCAAGTGCCAGTAATTTGCCTCTGAAAATCCTGAGAGAAAAAGAGAAAGGCAAGTAAATTATTATAAACATGCATAAACCTAAGTTGCCTGAAATCATATTTGATAATCTTCCCCAAAAAGTAAAAGTAAAAAAATTGGTCACTTCCAGTGCTCGTGACTGGCAGGAACAACCTCTGTATTCTTCAAACTCAAGCAACCGCCAAACCTCAAGCTATTTATCAGCTGGGGGTGTCCAAAGGAGACCAGCAAGAACGATGGCAGTCCAGAAAACAGGACTTCTAAACAAAAAACGGAGCAAATTGCATTTCTTTAGATTAAGAAGAGCTGGAGGGTGGCATGATGGATCCCAGCGTACGTGAAAGGCAGCAGCTTGGAGGGAAGGTACAGATGGCCCTTTCCACGTACAAGGGGGTAAAGTTGCTTTTCAGACCCTGCTCTGTGTTGTTATCATCTGTGTGCTGGTAATACTAAAAAACGTGATCATCCTACATCAGGAAGCTGAAACCTATTACCAGAGAGTGTCAAAATCTCTCATTCAGGCCGAAATAGCTACGTGGAGTTGTGGTCCGTATTTCTCACGGACCAGCAGACAGGAACTGAAAATATCCCAGTTCAAAAGTGGACTCCAATATAGTAACTTTTCCTGGACCAAAGCAAAAGCATTATCAGCACCCTAACAGCAAGTACGAACACTGAAGTGCATATGGGCCCTGTCAGATAAATATATTCTAAATATTCACATTTATTAATATAAATATATGGCCACTGTACGAATTAAGTGGGCATTTGATGGGTTTGATATTTTTTTTGCATTCAAATCTATGGAAATAAAATTAAAACAAAAAAAATCAGGGGAAAGAATATTCCTGAAAAGAAAGCTCACCATTACAAGACAGTGTTTTGTTTACCTTGAAACTGTACTGGTTTACAAAGGATACAGTGAAGATTTATAACCCAGCAAATAGTATAATGCTACAGAGCATCATTTTTAAATACAAATTTTTCATTTATGCCTCACATACATTTGTTTACATGAATTTCTCACCTATTTTCTGCATTCCCTATATGTTTGGGATTAAATTAGCGTTTGCGACCCTCTCGGTTCCACCTAATTTCCTGTTTGATCAAGCGGGGAAGAAATCACAGGACTTGGTTTAATAATAGCTCTCTGCTGACATAAGCCCAAGACTGAAAGTCCTGAAGTGTCAAGCAGAACAGAGGGTGCCCTTTGTGGTAAGTCAACTTGGATTCCGGCACACCAGCCTCAACAACAGACGGGAAATACTGACTGGCCAGGTGACAGCTTTTGAATGACACACTTAGTCTGGGGCACGCGCTGGTTTTTAAAACAGTTGCTCAAATCCAAAAGAAGCCTTCAAGTTGCACATTTTAGTCCTCGTTAACGCATCAGATGCAAATGGTGCCTAAGTCCTGAATACTGGATTGAAATAAAAAAAGAACATAATACCTAAACCAATAATATAATACCTACATGGTTTATTTAATATTTTTAAAGCTATTTCTTAAAAAAATCGCTGCAAATAATTCCCCCCCCCCCCTTTTTTTTTTTCATTTTGATATAGCAGCAAAACTAAACTTTCCATTTTGGCTTAGAAAGAATTTTTTCCTTCTCCATTTTTTTGTTTGACTCACAAACAAGGGAGCAAACATAGGGTAGGGAGGAAGAAAGGTCTGAAAACTTCAAAATTAAATAAATAATAAACAACATAACCCCCCAAAACAAAACCCCAACCCAAAACCACATTAAAAAAGCCACGAGTTAAACACATTATTCTGGAGAAGAATTTCTCATGACTAAAAGTCTCCATTTCATCCCAGTCTCTGGACCCTGCAATTTGCTGTAACTGCTGGCTTCACTTACTTGGGGAGTCTGGATTCTTTGAAGACTGTGCTTTCACATCGGGAATTGCAACATCATCTTGCTCCCTGTTCCCATCTGATAATCCGTCTTCATTGTTTTCGGTCTGTTGGGTCCAAACCTCAGTTATGTTGTTGCTGTTACTCAAGTCGGGAGCTTCCAACATTTGGTCCTTTTTACTTTGGACGGCCCAGTGCATTGACTAAAGAAATGTGAAGATAACAGAGAAAGAACCAATTCCCATGCCTTACATTTTTAATTACTCCTCTCTCCTCTCCTACACTGCTGTAGTAAGCGGTTAAACAAAGCAGGTACTAGAGAGAAGCTTGGGGCTCAGCCCGGTTACGTAGGGCAAACGGCACCTCAGAGGACAGCCTATGTCAGGTGGGGATGGAGAACAAGCTGTACTAGTGGATCGAGTGATGCTGGGGGTCTGCTGTCCACTTCCTTCTGTCATGACCTTTTTTAAGAGGGTTTGAGTGACTTAGAAAACGTCCGTTTTCAAAGCTGTCTCCGACTTCAACACGCCACTTGAAAGCAAGACAATTTGGGAAGCTCTAATAGTAACATCTGCAGAATAATTTCTGTTTGGAACTGAACTAAGCTTGATGGGATACCTCCCACAATCATTTACGCTCAGGCACAATGCTTTAGGCTGAAAAGGCTCTCAAACTTCTCTCCTAAGAAGAACTGAGGTGGGCAGAATTGGCAAGACAAACGTTTATCCACCTGCCTTTAAAACTGACCGTGTAGACTTGTAACTATCATTCACCCTCACAAGGCAGGGGAAAAACCCACAAACCCCAGACACTATGGAGTTAGGATCTAGCAGGAACATGCTACCAAATGATCTCACTAGCAAAATTCGGAGGGAAGGCAGAGCCCTCCCAGAGACCTCTGTGGAGCCCAGGGTTTCATGGAACCTACTGTCCAGACTGAACAATGAGCTTGGTATTTAATCAGCTAGCAGGAACGCCTCCCTGATAGCAACATGCCAAAAGGAGAACGCACTATACAAAGGTCCCAGCTTTGAAAAGAAGTAAAAGGTTCCTCTGGAAGCCAAGTGTGCCAAAGCATTTCAAAACAGCCCTGAAGTTAAACTTCGTATAACACGCATAACAGCAGCAATTTGATAAATTCCCTCTAAAACTACTGAAACATTTCTGTGAATGAACCTCTACAGTCCTCCAATTTTTCCTGCACTTCCTTAACTTCCTTAGCGCAGGAATCACGCTGCGCTATTCCCATCCCCAAAAGCCACCGCCGCAGCAGAAGTGGTGTAACCCATCCCCTCACGCACTGCGACCTCTTCCCCGGACCAGCCCGACCCCTCACCTCCTCCTGAAGGCCCAAACTCAGACAATACCCACCGTTTTCACAGAACTGCTCAGGGCCTCCCACTGCTGGAACGGGATGGTAATTTTGCTCCGGCGCCAGTAATCGTAACGCGCACGACTCTCTGCGTTAGTAAGAACCTCCTTGGCTTGCTGCAGCTTCTGGAAATTCTCCACTAGAACACAAACCAAAAAGATACCAAAGAGGGTATTTTAGTTCTCAAGGAAACTGAAAGAAAGGGGAGCTGCCCACCACGGCTTAGAGCAAACAGAGAAGAGGCAGGAGAGCTGAGTGAAGAAGGCATGTGGTTGTACTGCCTACAGCCTTGCAAAGTTTCAGCTGGCTTCCGTGAACAGCTGATATCCTTTTCAAATGAGGACTAGAAAGCCCCCATGTCTGCTGGATTCTCCTACATTTAAGGAGAAGTTTAATATAAATTTTAAATTTAAATCTCCTAATTTTAAGTTCAGAGAAACTTGGAGCACAGCAGGCAAAAGGCACAAATCGCCCCTGCGGACCACCGTAAGAAGGGGAATTAAACTAGAGGGGTAATGCCCAGCAGGAACACACGCAGCAGCAGCAAGGCAGTCAGAGCAAAGCACAGCACCAGGAAAACGTGGGTGGGGGGAAAAAAACTGACCAGCAAGAAAAGGAATCTAAATATAATTCAGATTAACTACCTTGTGCATTTTATTAGGTGTGTTTTCCATGCATGCCAACCTGGAATACCAGACTGCATGAACAGGAGCTCTTTTTCACTACAGGGTAATTTTTCATTAAATGGTTACTAAGGATGCAGCTGCATGTTACTATTTGTGGAAGGGCTATAAAGACTTAGATTTAACCTGTGAGTCACCTATGTTACAGCGATCTGATATTATTATTATTAATTTATTCCGGGCTATAAATTAGATTTCTTTTGAAATACACTAAGCTCAAACCCCAACCAAAATTGATAACCACAAACCTAACAACAGGCAACAGGCTGAGGGGGCAGTTCTATTACGATTCCTTTTCCTAGTGTCACCGGTTTTCAACAAATAACAAGCCTACTTCAATTACTCTTTACTGAGTTTTAAGCTGATGAAATAAAGAGTAGTAAGGTGTACTTTCATATTTGTTGAAAACCGGTGACACTAGGAAAAGGAATCGTAATAGAACTGCCCCCTCAGCCTGTTGCCTGTTGTTAGGTTTGTGGTTATCAATTTTGGTTGGGGTTTGAGCTTAGTGTATTTCAAAAGAAATCTAATTTATAGCCCGGAATAAATTAATAATAATAATATCAGATCGCTGTAACATAGGTGACTCACAGGTTACAGTAAAGAGTAGTAAGGTGTACTTTCACAAGTACTGTATAAAGACACTGTAAATACAGCATGCTCAGGTAAACAGAGCATGGAGGAGTTCTCGACAAACAAGGTTGCTCCAACATTTGGCACTCGGCCTCCTTTGTGGTGTTCCTCAGTTTCAGTTAATCTGGGGCGAGCGTGGGGTGCGGGTGCAGGCAGACAGGACCACGCACTGGAATAGTCTCTTGTTTCCCCGCTGCAATGGCCAGAACTTTGTGCGGAGAGAGTCGATTCCACCGGTTTCGTTGGTGCTTATGCCATTGGGTTATTCTGAATAGGTGGTAGATGGTCTCTCAAACACCAGATTTGAGGGAGTTCCTGGTCAGGGAATCTCAGAATGAAAAATCCCACCTATTTCACCTTTTAACCCCGTCTTGTCAGCTCTGATGTTAGGCTGGGATGGCACGCCCACGAGGAAAGCCAAGCCCTGCGGAGAGCTCTGCTCGAGGCAGTGGAGTGCGCGTCTCCCTTAACAGCTGCTGCACTCCCGGCGCTGCTACCTCAGAGGAGGCTGTGGGTGAGCTCACACTCACCCAAGTAGGGAGGTTACGGTATGCACTTCATGCCTATGCCGTTCAGGATGCAGTTCAACAAAAGGAAGCATTCAGAGGAAAAGGTTTGTGCATTAATCAAAATAAGAAGCATGGGTAATTATTCTACAACAAATTTTTGGTGGGGACTGTAATTATGACCAGAACCACCTCTATTATAAGGATTTCAACTCTTCAGACACCAGTGAGCACGGATTAGAGCTACCTTGTGGTTACGAACGGGTAAGAGCGTCTCCAAATAACCCGGGTGCTGCTCAGCCATCGCAGGTAGGGCGAACGGCACGCTTTCACAGACGCCAACGGTACCTGCTCCTCTGCAAACAGATGGCTACTCACGCAGGGCCGCCTTCGCTTAATTCCCAGTCATTAAATTGCATCAAAAGAAACTAAAGTACATTTAACGTGTTCCTGATGGGCTTGTTCATGGAAGCGAATTAACTGCTTGACGCAAGCATGGCACTTGACTGCCACTCGGCACGGAAGCAGCCCAGCTTCATAGGTCTAGAAAGGGATATGCTCCATAGAAAAAATGCTGGATTAAGAGATGTTGTACCATAGAAAGGAAAAAAAAAAAAAAAAAAAAAAAAAAAAGTCCTGGAGGCAGGGGGGGAAACAAAAAAA